TCTGCCTCACAGGCATTGGGAGGTGTGGGAGGGGGTATATTGGGGTTCTTGGTGGTGAAAAATGAGTACTGGTGAAGGGAGAGGTGTTTGATCATTGTATGACCGAGAAGTAAGCCTGAATGCTTTGTAAATTTTCCCACAGTGATTCAATAAATAAATATAAGAATAAAATAAATAAAATTATGAAAAAAAGTAAGGTGGAGTTCATGCCCAATTCAATCAGCTAATCAGTGAATCAGTAGCTGAATAAATAGCAGTACTCCTACATTAAAAAATTAGGAGGTATACCTGTGATATGTGACTAAATATGGATTATAGATGTATGTTTTAAGTAAAAAAGATAATGGATACCCTCAGTGGAAAAAAAGGAAAGGAATCCTGTTAAGGTGACGCTGATTTTGAAATGGAATGACGAAAGGTTACAGGAGATAATGAATTCAAAGAAAAGTGTAGATGGTTTGAGAATATAAAGGAATGTGTAGAATATTTGAGGTTGTATCTTAATGAAAGAAAGTATGGTCAAACTGTATTGTAACAAGAACCTTTATATCTTCAGAATTGTTCTAGTACCTTTTTGGCATTATCTATGAAAAAGATATTAGAGATATGGTCTGGATTTTTGTTGTAGTGCTTTTAGAGAATTTGAAACAGGTTTTCAACATGGGATTAAATGAATTAGACATTATGTTGTTAAATTGTTTATTCTATCTCTACAGATCTTAATGCTTTTGTCTAGAATGCACTGAAAACAGGTGTATTGCATCTCATTGTGAATAAAGTAAAATATTTGCTTTTCTCTTTTTGTTCCTTCAGTGCATTTTCTTGATACTTCATGGCACTATGTTGCTCTGCATAAATCTGGATAGAACATCTTTCTTCTCTGTAATAGGGTCTATGCCTCATACAGACAGGAAAACCAGTCATGGGACCCCAAAGTCCTCTTCCAGGGAAACAGTGTTAAGGGATTTGGTAAATGACAGGAGCTGATAGTTAATATTCACTGTAATAAGTTATCTACAAACCTCAGGTAGACCCTAGAAGCAGGTCAGATCAAGAAAGGTATGGAAATCATCTCTGCTATGGAAAATGAGGTATCTGGAGATCTGCAATGACTGACCCAGCCTGGGTTTTGCTCTCAGTGTCAGGAAAAACCTGGAAATCCAGGCCTGAGTAAGGGGTGGGATGTACTCCAATCTGCCAGGACACTCCTACAGAAAGTGAGAGGCCTGGGGCCAGCTCCACCTCACCCTGCAGGCATGAGGCTACATCCAGCTCATTGTGGGACCTGATCTTCACATCTTATGACCAGGCCTGGGTAACTTTACATGCAGATTAAAAATCAATGCCACTATTGGTGTGTCTCCTGTCTTAGTCAATACCCAGGATTTGTCAGTAAGTAAATAGGGTACTCCAAATGAAGAATTCTCCAATCTTGCTGAGTTTATTCAAAAGAACAAGTCAGGTGTGTTAAGCCATCTGGCAAACACAAAGTGAGGGTGGAGAGAATAGCATGTTTCTGTAACTTGTTTTATTTAAGAATCAGATTCTAGTTCTACTATTTCTGTAACTTGTTTTATTTAAGAATCAGATTCTAGTTCTACAAATGTGATTGAATAAATAATAGGCTTGATTTAAAAGGTAGCCCCCTCAGGTAGTCCACATAAAACTTGGTTTACTGACTGTGAGTAAGCAGCCTATACTAAAAAGAAACTCACAGTTGCATATGCTATCACTAGCCTGACCAGGATAGTTGAAGCCAGAAGTTTGCCAAGGAGAATGCCAGTGAAAATGCAGACCTTCTCTTGAACCTACTAACAGGCCAAGTGAATCACTAAATTGAGTCTGAGTATTTATTCTTAGTCATATGAGCACATGTAGTGATTTGTAGAGAATAAGAATTTTTTAATGGCTCTTAATTCTTGTTCCATCATGGGATTAATACCCCATGATAGAATAATTCCTGTAGGACAGAATACTTTGCAGAAGAGGAAATGGCGTTGAAATGAAGTTTTCAAAAAGGGAATTAATGAATGATTTAAGGAAATACATAAAGCTTCCCACCTTGGAAGAGATGCTTTAATCACATTAGTGCAAACTTTCCCTTGGGAAGGGACTGTACAGGACAGTAAGAGAAGTAACTCAGAACCGTGCCTTATTTGCCATTAATGAACCTACTGGGAATCTTGGACCTTCTCTCCTAACACCACATGTTCAGCATCAAGGAATTTACCCAGAGGAGGATTGGAAGCTAGACTTCAAAAAAATGCTCAAATGTTCAGGGTATAAATATCTTTTGGTTCTTATTGATACCTTCAGTGGATAGGCAGAAGCCTTTCCAATCAATATTGAGGAAGCCAGAGAGGTGGCTTTAGGCACTAGACAGGGAAGGGCAATGGCAATGGATTCTAGGATATAATAAAACTGCCTAGTCTTAAGGCCATCAGAAAGCATAGGAACTAAAGCCATATAAGTCTTTCACCTGGGATTAGTGACAGTCCCAGAAAAGTCTGGACCCCCTAACCCCTCCGAGAGAAACTCTAGCACGTTCATAGAGCTCTGTTTTGGGGAATACCCCAATAAACTTCTACTCTCTTCACTTTTACTAGACTCTGCCTCTCTGTGTTGGCTGAGATCAGTAACCTATCAAGAACAAGCCTGGTTTGATAGATTAGGTTTGTTAAACCATCTGCCAAGCAAATTGAAGGTGGAGAAAAAAATGTGTCTTTGTATCTTCCCTTCTGTAGAAATCAGACTAAAGAGTGATTGAACAAACACATTCTAATGGGCTTGATTTACAAAGGGCGTATGGGGTTCAGTATCACCCAGCAGGTCAACCTGTGGAGTGAGTCAATCAGCAGCCTGATGATGCTTTCAGACTTCCTGATACCCCCAAATGGCTGCTGTGCCTCTTACCAGACCCCAACAACTTGTGACCAAGTTTCCTGAGAAATTAAGTAGTCAAAAGTTAGGTATATGGGGTCATGCCCACAAAGCATCTGCAGCTCAGTTCTATAAACTCATTTATTAGCCTTCAGAGACCTATAAATAAATCTTAAAGAGATATAAAAAAAGGAGAGACTCACAAATGAATCTCAGAAGAGAGCAGAACACCACAGAGATGTTTCCCCATCCCGTGCCAGACTGATTTCACGAGGGCACCTCAAGGGGGGGGACATGTGAGTCTCTTCAACTATCCCAAATGAATCCCAGCATCCACAAACCTCCAGAACCCAATTGCTGCTATGTTCATGCTGACCTTCACAAGCTCATTCCAAGTTTTCCCCCCCACCGCCCACTCATCATGTATGAGAATGAATCTGCTGAAAAAGCCAGGTATGAAGGACTAGTGACTGAAAACTACAGACTTCATAAAATTGGGGATAAGAGACCTCCCCGGTTTCCCCACCCTTCTGGTTTTCTGGCAGTCATGCCCAGGAACTGCCTCTGGGAACCACTTAAGTTCATTAATAGCCATGATTCAGAGACTCACAAATGAACCTCAGAAGAGAGCAGCATGGCACAGAGACACCTCTGGACCTCAGATAGTTAACAATTTTCGAACTCCAGGAACATATATATTCTCATTCTATTCACAATAAGCAATAAAAATAAATTATTTAGCATTTGCCTATGTGGCAGACTTGGGTGAGAAAATTGAAAATAATGGAGGTGGGATGATGGAATGGTGGTAGGATTGGTGTTGAAATATTGAATGTAAACAAATATTGTGAACAACTTTTTGAAAATAAAATAAAATTTAAAAAATATTTTAAATAAAATAGGGTTTAACAAGCCTAGCAGTCTGGTGTGTGCCCCCTATCAGTAGGGCCATTAATTTCAGTAAGGTTATCTTTTCCCTGATATCTGTCTTTTATTTTTTTAATCTTAGCACCTTCCCACTTGAAATTCATCCAGGTACAGTTTTGGTAAATCTTCAGAAGCACCTTCAGTCAATTGCTCTTTTACTCACTCCCAATAGCCCACTGTCCCTTGAGCAAACCATCTGCCTAAAAGCTACAAACCTGTTCCTGCCAGAAAAGCTAGAGAGATTTCTTGTTGCCACTGTTAGGTAACCAATACTACTGCTACATGAGGTTTACTTAAAATAGTATCACTGTATCACTGTCATCCTGTTGGTCATTGATTGCCTTGAGCAGGCCCCAGTAACTCTCCATCCTAGCCCTGAGATTTTAAAGTGCCACATTCGAGGCTCTTTTAGAGTCAGGAGAATGAGACCCATTATTGTTACTGGTTTTTGGCATATTGAACATGCCATGGGGAGCTTGCCAGACTCTGCCATGTGGGCAGTATACTTTTGGTGGCCCGCCAGGTTCTCCATAGTAGGAAGTTGAAAATAAGATGTTGCAGCCACATGCTTCCGGGAGCTGGATTTTATAGTCTCTGGGTCTTGGCCGTTGATGGGATTACACGGCGCCGGGGGCAGTTGGTGGGTATAATGCCTACATACTGGAAGATGGATGGGGGGATCTGGGTGGAGGAGGCCCAGTCCCAACCCGAGCAGGCTTGGAGATCTACGCCCCCGGGTCCTGCACAACTGGATTCCTCTGCCAGTTTCTTCATGCTTGAGGCTCGTCTGAACCGGGGTCCCTTGGAGGAGGGTGGGTTGAGCTTCCCTCCTCACCCCGAGCAGAGCCCCGGCAGCTGAAGACCTCCGGTTCCAGCCACAGCCATGCTTAAGACCACTCTCCACGCATTCGAACGAACAAAATAGTAACCAGGACAAAATAGTGACAGACTGATGAGACAGCAGAATCAGAGATCACTCTGTCCCCAGAACAGAAGACAGGTCTTATGGCCCACTTGCCAACAGGAAACCATCAGGCTACATTCCATGCTTCCTCACACCGATCCCCTACAGATAACAAGCCCATACCAAGCACACCTGTTCCACTGGTCTTTGTTCCCTTCTATTTTTCCACCTAAGGCAACTTAAAAGCCCCCTTAGTCTCTCCGAGGGACCAGCTTTATCCCAGCCTTACCTGAGATTTGTAGAGTTTCGGTGAGTGGAACTGAATCTGAAGTTTAGCGTTGAATTCAGGAAAAAGTTTATATAAGAGCAAGGAGATACCTGCTCCTGTGCAGTGAACAGTTTACTGTTCTGTATTTCCTGTGTTTCTCCTTTTTTAAAAAGGACGAAATTGAAAGTGAAAGTAATATTTCATTGTTTTTTTTTTTTTAAGTTGCAACAGCGTGCTTTTTACCGACACTCTGGGTTTCGGAACCATTCAAAGAGCCAGCTATGGCAGCCCACCTCACTCCTCCTATTGAGCACCATAGTGAGGGGGTGCAAACCTACGAGGGAGAGTGAGTATGTGGAGACATGAGCACTCCAAGAGCTTCTATTAGGAGAAGACTCATTTTATTGCAAGCAGGGTCAGGTTTATATACCTCAAGACACAGGAAACAAACATTTTACGGGGGTTTTCAGCACACATTTGCACAAGGGATTAGTAGGATGTTGCAGTTTGTCATTTATTCTGGTTAGGGGCCTTTTTGATCAATTTTCCCCTGGCACCCCTGGGGTGACTGGTTGTTACCACTGGCTAGTAGAGGGGAGAGAGGAGAAGAGAGGGGCCATTGCTGAAAAATCAGAAGGGTAGGCTATAGGGGAGGGGTCATCTAACACTCGTCCTGCTCAGGCTAAGTCTTGGGAGCTCCATTCTCACCCCTAGTTACCCCCCACAATTGGGCCCTGCAATATCCCACAGCTACCCTTTTTTGTTTTTGAGGTTCAGAATCAAAACAGTTTTGTTGGGGGGTCTCTAGGGAGCATTAGATATTGCTGAACAGTAACCTGGTTAACCATGTCTCTTGTTACAATCTGACGTTGTTGCTGAGAAAACATCAGGGTGCAGGGGGCCAGCAATTATATGATGGCCAAGATTACTAAGGCATAATCCAAACAAAAAATGTTCCTAGAACCAAGGGAAAGAAGAGTAGGACAAATATCAGGAACATAGGTCTTCACTAAATTTGGTCAAAGTATTGATATCATGCTCAACCACCCCTGACACATTAACCAAGAAAGAACGTTGTTCCCATAAAAACTCACAGGTGCCCTCTTTATCACTGGATTATTTATCACTGGATTGTCAGTGGGCCCTCTAACAATCACTGGATTGGAGAGCAACGGCAGCAATGGAGGTGATCTGGCACTTGAGCGCTGACAAACACTCAGTGGTAGAACCATCAGCTTACAGCAGCCGCCTGATAAAGTCCTCTGCTGTTAAGAATCCATGGGTCAGGGATACCACAGAAAGACCTAGGGTAGTGGTCAGGCCATGGGGGAAGGTGGTTCCTCAGGACATGCCTCCTGAACCTATGAATTCAGGGCTTGGAGACTCCTCTATGTTATCTTCTCTTATCTTCTTATTCACTACTTCGTGGTCTCTCTCATGGTCTCTTTCAGGGATAGACGAGCCAATTGGCAGTCAGTGGTAAAGTGCTGTACATGTCTGGCTGGGATCCATATGGACTTTGGACAATCCTGTAGAAAAATGCAAGCAAAGCCTCTCCCTGTCAATAATAATGGTCTGGATCTTTCCATAGGCCATTAAGGGGGTCCTTCCATCACACCATAATGGGGGGAACTGGTGCAGGGGGATTCCAGTGAGTAACAATGGTGGGCTCATCTGAAAGTTTTGAAATATTAAAAAGAGTAAAAGTTGAAAGGGATAGGAACAGCCTGATATTTGGGGGGGTGTATGCTCCCCCTTTGTATTTTTGAAGATAAATTTTCAAGGTATTATGGGCATCTTCCACCAAGGCTTCTTCCTCAGAATTATATGGAATACTCGGTGGTCTGTTGTATTTTCCATTGAGCACAAAAATCTCTAAAGGAAGAATTAATAAAGGCAGGGCCATTGTCTATTTTTTAATGGATCACTGTGGGGTAAAATTACAGACTTACAAATGTTCTTGCTTATGTTTCAGTCATATAACGATCGAGTACCCATCTCTCCACCAGTGCCAGTTCTCCACCACCAATGTTCTCAGTGTCACTCCTATCCCCCTCTTCTACCCCCTCCCTCCCCCTCTGCCTCTGTGACAGGCACATTCCGTTTTACTCTCTCTCTTCTCTCTCTCTCTCTCTCTCTCACTCTCTCTCTCCTTTAGGGTATTGTGGTCAATAATGCAAATATTGAACGGCCATCATGATCGGTCTATAGTCTGCTTTTGGAACACATCTCCCAACCTGTGTGGGCCCTTTAAACACTCTTTACTTGGTGGTCCCTTCTCTGTCTGAGCTACCTTTTCCCCCAGCATGTGAGGCCAGCTTCGAAGCCGTGGAGCAAACCTCCTGGTCCTTATCTCTACTCTCCTTGGGTGTTACTCTCCCATTCTGTTACTTTATATTCCACAAATGAGTGCAATCTTTCTATGTCTGTCCCTCTCTTTCTGACTCATTTCACATAATATGATACTTTATTTATTTATGTATTGAATCACCATGAGAACAGTCACAAAGTCTTTCAATTCAAGTCTCGGTCAGTCATACAATGATCAAACACCCGTCCGTCATCAGTGTACATTTTCCACCATCAAGAACCCCAGTGTAACCCCCGTCACCCACCCTCCGCCTGTGTGGCAGATTTCCACTTTACTCTCGCTCTCTCTAAGTTGATCACATTCAATATTACGACAAAAGACTCAACATTGTTATTTGAAATTTTCCCCAACATTCAGACCTGCCACAAGGACATCATTAGATAATTTGTTTTCTATTGGTGATTATGAAGAGTATATGATGTCGTGTGACCACAATAGCAGCCATGAGAATTTGGATTTCTGATATTGTAGTAATAAACCTAGAGGGATTACTGCCAGAAGCCCCTGGGTTCTGAGATTGGTATGTGTGCCTCTGGGTTCATGGTCAGCCAGAAGCCGGAGGAGGAGTTTGAGGGTGGCAACCTGGAGCATTGTCATGGCGGGGAGCAGGGCTGATTCCACCCCCATCCCATGAAACCCCACGTGTCCCGTCAAGGCAGTCTCATACCTGGCTGTTCATTAGGCTCTAAAAGATGCAGGCCACCATGTCCCTGCTGCAAAGGGGGACAGGCAGAGGAACAGACACCCTTTCCCTCCCAGGGTGGCATAGCACCATAGTTAAATACACAGTCCAGTTATTTTTCGGTTGGGCATTATCTTTTGCTCAGATTTTCCCACCACCACTCAAACCTGATTTTCAGGGACAAATGCTAGATCATTTACTTTCCATTGATCACGCAGCTGCGTAGTTCGGAAAAAAGTTCTGGTACCCGCATGCCAGAGCCATGCTTGTAGAAGCTCATGGTCACCGGATTTCCATCTGGAGAAGGCAGGGAAACAGCACCTACCCCATCTGGACCTCCCGGTGATATCGGCTCTGGTTGGGGCCCGGAGAATTCTCCAGGAGCTGTGGGGTCCTCCAACCGTTTTTTTTTCTTGCTGCTCTGTGCTGTAAGATGGCGCTGAGGGCAGGTTGTGGGCATGACTTCCAGAATCAGAGGTTGCTTGGGAGCTGGGGCGGCTCCATTGTAGTTTGGTAAAAAGTCCTGGTACCCACATGCCAGAGCCATGCTTGTAGAAGCTCCTGGTCACTGGAATTCCATCTGGGGAAGGTGGATACTTTCCATGTTGATCCACTTAAATGCAAATTTCATGATTTCATCTTTTTTAACAGCTCCATAGTATTCCATTGTCTAGATGTACCAAAGTTTCTTTAACCAGTCCTCTGTTCTTGGGCACTCAGGTTTTTTTTCTAGATTCTGGCTATTGTTAACAGTGTTGCAATAAACATACAAGTGCAGATGTCATTTCTACTATACTTTATTGCATCTTCAGGATATATTTCCGAAGTGGTGTTGCTGGGTCAAAAGGAAGCTCAATTTATAATTTTTTGAGGAGCATCCATATTGCTTACCAAAAGGGCTGAACCAGTCAGCATTCCCACCATCAGTCAAGGAGAGTCCCTTTCTCCCCACATCCACGCCAACACCAGTTGCTTATGTCCTTTTGGATGAGGGCCAGTCTCTGTGATGTGAGATGATATCTCATTGTTGTTTTGATCTGCATCTCCCTGATGATTAGAAAGCATTTGACAAGATCCAGCACCCGTTTATGATGAAAACTCTCACCAAAATGGGTTTTGAAGGAATTTTCCTCAATATAGTCAAAGCCATCTACCACAAGCCTGTGGCAAGCATTATCCTCATGGGGAAAAACTAAGAGCCTTCCTTCTAAGATCAGGGACAAGACAAAGTTTCCCACTCTCTCCATTTCTGTTCAATATAGTACTGGAAGTACTAACAATAACGGTTAGGAAAGAGAAAGATATTAAGGGCATGCAGATAGGAAAAGAATAAATCAAGCTCTCACTATTTGCAGAAAATAAGATACTATGTTTAGAGAACTCTAAAGCCTACCAAGAAGCTCTTAGAAACAATAGGTTTGTAAAGTCGCAGGCTATAAAATCAATACCCAAAAAGTCCATGGCTTTCCTATATGCAAATAATGATAGAGATGAAAGTGACATGAAAAAAGCAATCCCGTTCACAATCATGCCTCAGAAAATCAAGTATCTCAGAATCAGCTTAATTAAGACGGTAAAGGACCTGTACAAAGAAAACTACAAAACGCTATTTCACAAAAAAAAGAGGACACGAGGAAGTAGAAACATATCCCCTGCTCATAGATTAGAAGAATTAACATTGTCAAAATGGCAATTGTCCCCAAAGCATTATACAGATTCAATGTGATCCCTATAAGACTATCCATGCAATTCTTCGAGAAATGGATCAAACACTCCTGAAATTTATATGGAATAACACCTCTCCCCCACGAATAGCTAAAGCAATTCTTAGGAAAAAGAAGATGGGAGGCATCACCTTCCTCAAACTCAAACTCTGCTACAAAGCGGTAATAATTAAAACACATGGTAATGGAACAAAGGTAGAGTTGCAGACCAATGGAACAGGGTGGAATACTCTTACACACCCTCAAATATATGATCATCTAATCTTTCTTAAGGGAGCAAGAATGTGAAGTGGAGCAAGGAAAGCCTCTTTAACAAATGGTGCTGGCTTAACTGG